ATATAGGATAATAAATATCTTTTATAAAAGATAGCTAATTATAATACTTTTTATACTATTTAAACTATTATAATAACTTCTACCTCCTTAGAAAGTTTTAAAAGGATTACTTAAAGTCTAGTATTTTAAAAGTAGTTTATAAAGTATTAATTAAATATAGAGATATTATAATATTAGTAATAGTATTATATTTTAATAACTATATATACTAGAATAAATAGGGTACTAACTAATCTATAACCTTCTATTAATTAGATCTATTTATAAATAAGATATTAAGTCTAATAATTTAATTAAAGGGTAATAAATTACTTATTTAGGTAGTAGCGATAGCGTTAACTTAGCTAATTAGCTTATATTACTTGCTAAGTGACTTGCGCTTACGGCAGCGCTGGCCCTAACCAGAAATATCTTCTACTGGGATATTCACAAGGGGCAACTGTGGTTCTAGAAGCCCTCGGAAAATTGGACAACGAGACAACAAAAGCCATCAACGCTGTTGTGCTTGTTGGGAATCCCTATCGCACACCTGGGCGGGCCTCCAACGTCGACAGTCAAGGACGCCCCGATAATCGAACTCAATCCGGCATGTTCGCTGCTCAAGCAATGCAGGCAAACAGGACTTTTCCCAACTATGATGATGCTCTTGACCGTAGCGGCAAGGTCCGAGATATCTGTTTGGAGGTAAGCATTCGATGAGCATACAACTTAGCCAAGATCTAACAACTCTGATAAGGACGATCTTGTGTGTGCCCCTGACCCAGACTGCGATTGCCGATTGGCGAGTGACCATCTGTCATATGGGCTAGTTCAATCGGTGCAGGACCTCATTGTCAGTCACATCATGTCGCGAGCCACTTGATACTGGAGCTTTACAGTCCTGAGTGATTTTGGCACTTGCTTGGAAAAGTAGCAGACCAATCGAACCGAAGATTCGACAGAGCCTCTTCGAGCAACAAAATCAAGGCACCATCTCAGGATCCCAATAACATCTGTATTTGAGCAACTCTGACCCAGCCTCTTCACAGCGGGTTCCTACGCATATTAAATTTCGTCCGATTAGTTCGATCTAGTTTCAAAGTTATTATAGCGAAGCTTAGATCAAGAGACCACCTAATTTCCCATGTCTACGTGGCTGCCCGTATCCCACGTACTTAGAATCCCCGGTTTGAGGACTTTACTTCAATTCAGGAAGCGTGTCAATGATAGTATGTAGAGAGAGAAAATATTAACGATGACGATGACGATAACGACAGTACAAACGACGATGGTGAACAAATAATAGCTACGACGACGCCCAAAACGACGCGAGGACACAGGAAAAGTAGTCTCCTTAGAACAGGAAAAATGCGAGGCCTTTTGATTAAAAGCTTTCGCCGCATGTCCACGAAGCACCCAAAACATCACTTCGCCGGAGACCGCCTATCTTCCTGTGTCTGCGCGGCTATGTTTCCTGTCTCCTTTGCCGGGCACGTAGCGCGATGCCGTCTCCAGTAACCAGTTTTACGAAGGAAATCAAAGTTTACGGTGCACGGTCCTCTTCAATGGAAATTACGTCTCTTATCAGCTCATCAAGAAGTAATTTAGCCGCTGATAATTGCGATAAGGCCCTCCTCACCCATCGGCAGTTCTTATCCAGTGCTGCTATCTCAATTATCAGCGGCTAATTAGCGTGAGAAGACTTTCGCAAACATTCGAAATCCAGGTAATGATTCACTCTTTCCAGTTGATAATATCTTCATCTTACTTCTCAAACATTGAATCACTCCCGATTGTGACATTGATCTTCTATCGCGCTGCCCATGATGTCCCACGCTCAGAAGAGACAACGGGCTTCGCAAGCCTGCGATTTCTGCCACTCGAGAGGCCTCAGATGCCGTCCAGGACCGGCACGATTCGGTCAGGGGAAACAGGCAAGAGAGAGCTGCCTCAATTGTAATGACTATGAGATCGAATGCACCATGAGCCGGCCTATCCGAAAAAGAGGACGAAAGCCGGCGATCGCAAAACCTCCTGCGATGCAGGGCCACGGTGGAGAAGGACCCGTTGGTGGATTCAAATCGTTCTATGCCATTCGCCGACTGATTCGAATCTACCGCGATACAATGTATCAATGCTAGTAAGTTTTGTCTTGCAGTCTGCAGGTTATTATGCGAGTGCTAATCATGGCAGCTTTCCGTTCCTCTCCGAAAAGGATCTTGAGGTGCGCTGGGAAACCGGCATCAGCGACACCGATGGGCCATCGTACGCATTGCTCATGTCGCTCTGCGCCGTCAGTTCCCAAATGGCGGCTATGAATGCAGTCTTTGACAACACATTGCTTCAAGGCATCTCCATCCCCGACAGCGAGCTCTACTTCACAGAGGCTGTGTCCAATATACCAGTTCATATCCCTCAGTCGCAGAACCTGGACTATCTGCGGTCCTTCGGCCTTTTGGCTGTCTACTCTTTGCGCCATGGCAATCACAGCGACCTCCACCGATATTTGGGTCTCTATCATGCCTCAGTCGCGCAACATGGCTTTCACGATGAAAGCCGCTGGCCCGATGATATCACCACTTTCGAGGTTGACGATCGCAGGCGCCTCTTTTGGTGTGCCTATCGCCTTGAGGTCCATTCGGCATGTGTTCTTGGACACGTCGTGAGGATGCCGGAATCGCAAGTATCAGTTCTCTATCCTCGCATCACTCCGGCCATGGACCCAGAAACACAGGCCTGGACTGCCGGCTGGGACTACATCACAGACCTGTTCCGGCTGTTGGAATACGCAATATTCAGCCTGCACGGCTGCAAAAACCGGAAGGCAGTGCTGGCCGTCCTTTACGACAAACCTGCCCCGACAACCCTGCTGAACAGCCTGGCCCAGCTCAAGGCCAATAAGTCTCGCATACTCCTCGGATTGACTGAGGCAGATGGAGAATTTCAGAGCAACCGCTGCAAGTACATGTCAGTCCAGATCACTTGCACAGAGACGCTTGTCAACATCATGGCCCTTCTCTACTGCCAAGCACCTGCTCAAGAGGTTATGACTCTCGCCAATAGCTTTCTAGAAGAGGTGATCAAAGCCCCGCTCATCATGTTCAAAGTTGCAAGCATCCAGATTGTGCACCAGCTTCTCGGGGTGGGCCATATGCTTCGCAATGCATCCAGATACGAACATGGGGTGTATCGCACTGAAGCGAAACGGTTGATCACTTTCTTGGGGGACTTGGTCAAGAACCTGGAACATGACATCCCATCTGCAGCTGAAGCTGCCGAGAGACTCCTTGAGCTGGCAGAGGCCACTTCCTGACTATGCTGTGAGCATCGTCAAAACTTCAGTACCAAGGATTGAACATTTCGGGTGCAATGGGATCTGGTGTGGCCCCAGGCAGCATGCGCTTGACATTATCCCAGGTTCTATTATAAGGGCATGGAAACAGTATTGTAGACGGTATTCTCCTTCAATCTTTAGTGTAACATTTGTAATCCTCAAACTTTCCAAATCAAACACACTCCATTCCCGGTCTTCACCTCTTCCGCCTTAGTCATGTGAAGCAACTGTCATTGCCATGTACTTTTGATAAGCGGGAATGGACCACCGACGAATCCTCTTCCCGTAGAGAATCATGATCACAAACGTAAAGGTACACGCAATAGAGACCATAGCTGCAGTAATGAAGCAGTTCTGCAGGCCTTGCTTGGTCCACCAAGGCGTGATGGCGTAGCTGAAGCCAAATCCGATCGTGTTTCTGATCAGCATGATAGACACGGTCGTCTCTCCCGCAATTTCCTTGAAGCAGTCAACGTTGTAGCTGACTGCAATTGAACCACCCGTCACAACGCCAAATGTCAGCATGCCGAGGCCGAATATCAACCCGACCCAATGGACGTTATGATAAGCGCCGACACCCCAGGTGATGAGGCCAGCTGCGGATGTCACACCAGACAGAGTCAAAACCCATAGGCGGTGCTCAGGCTCGCGGATGCCATTGTTACGTCTGGCTAGCCGAAGGGCGATCCAGTCTGCTGCGTTCCCAGACCAGAGCGAAGCCACGGCTGCGCCTATGATGGGGCCCGCGTAGACACAGCCGACCAGCGCCGCTGACCAGTTGTAGGGGTTGCCCGTTAGAACAGGACTGGCAGTTCCATTCAAAACATTGTACCAAGCCAAGTTGATTCCATAGAGGAAGCCAGCCCATGCAACAGTCGGAAACCGGAAGATCATGATGATAGGTCGGTAGGCCATGCGCAGCATATCGATGTTGCTGGGCCGTCCAGGGAGGGCTTTGAAGAGTGTATACTTGCTCCATCCTGAGTTGATATCTTGAAGTGGAGCAAGAGACTGGGTTGCAGAGGTTTGAGACGATGAGGTTGGTTCTCGGGTCTCCTTCTCCGAGCTTGCATCGTGTTTGACATCCGTTGAGGCGTGACTGCCTAGACCATGGCGGCCCGTTTCTTGGCCGTCGATGACATGACCCCGAAAGTAGATCGTCTCCTCCATGAAGAAGAACATGATCACAAAGCACACCGCGCAGATGATGCTTCCGAAATGCATCGTCCATCGCCAGCCGTATGCGTCGTTGAACCATCCCGCGACGAGCGGAGCAAGAAAGTTGGAACCGAACAGGATGAAGACGTAGAGGCCCATGTACGTCCCTCGGTTGTGGGCAAAGAAGAGGTCAAACACCGTGACCTCACACAACGACTCGATGGGCGAGACGATGATGCCAATCAAGACGCGGTGCGCGAACCATTCCCCCGCTGACGTTGAATAAGCGGTCCACTCCATCATGGGTACGGTGAGGAGCATGGTGATGAGGTACACGCCACGGCGACCGTAGGTAAGGCTGATAGGTTGCCATATCAAGCAAGCCCATCCAAAGAACAAGAACATCACACCAGTTCCTTGGACCAAGTTCGCAGTGGAGATGCCGGTGTCTTTCGTGATGTCAGCGAGGACGGAGTACTGGAGCGAAGTTGCGATGCCGGTGCCGAGGACGTAGAGATATGCCATGCTGACGGCGAGGAGTTTGCGGCGATGCGTCCAGTTCAGTGGGTCCGCTGGATCAGAGCTAGGACGAGGTACGAGGACGATGTCGTTGTGGGACGCATCGTGTAGTTCGGAGGAGGCATTCCCGGCTACGTCGACAAGACGAACGGTTCCTGGTACGTCCTCATAATCAATAGCATTTGGCATCGTGTTGACTGATGAGAAATAGAGTGGCGAAAAAATGTGGATGGAAACATGGGCCTTGTTTGGCAGACGAGGCAGAGGATCTCCCTTTGATAATATACCTTGAGCCCCTGTTTTCTAGCAGCCAGAGTTGGGCTTCGCTTGAAGTTTGTCAAATCTAAAGTTGCTAGCTTATCTCACGGGGGCAGAAGGCACACTGATTGAGAATCATAACATCAATTAGCACCTGCTAAATTGGAGGTATGAACCTCCACTGCCACATTCTATAGCTGTTAAATCATTAGAAAGCTTGTCATGAATCAATAGCTGATAATTTTCGCCATCTTGGCCCTTCAAGCTGAGAGAAAAAGAATGATATTCATCAATAGCGATCATCAATTACCTTGAATCTTTCGCGAAGCATAAATAGCACCCCGAAGCCCATCTTGAGCGGGCAGTCAAAGTCTCAACTCATCGCGCACGTACGCATTTCAAGCACTGCATCGTCGATCTGAAAAGCCGACATCCAGAAGCCATGGGTTCCATTGGCATCCCTCAGGTGAGTTGATCGAAATGTGGCATCATGTTGCGTGACCGCAAGCAACGGCCCGCTGATCTCGTCGTCAACAGAAGCTTTCCATCGTGGAAGCCACGATTGCCGACCTTGAATCAGCCTTGTCTCAAGGCCGCATCAACAGTGTGGAGTT